GTTTGGATCTACCCATCAAAAAAATTTAAATGTCTCCGGGAAAGGTAAAAAAAAAAAAAAAAAAAAAAAAGAAAGAAAGAAAGAAAAGAAGGAAAGAAAAGAAGAATAAAAACAAGGGAATCAATTTTCGAATATAAGAAGCACAATAATAAAAAAGAAAGAAATAGAAGGAAAGAAGCAACCAGAATTCAAAAGAAGAAAAAACACTCGAATAATAACAAAGATAAAGAAAAAAACATACAAAAGAAGGAGAAAAGAAAGAAAACAATGAAAAATACTGAGAAAACAAATGAAAACTAAACGAAATTGCAAGCAGAAACACCTGACCGCGAAGAAATGAGAGAAATGTGATTTCAATTAATCGGTTGTGCAGTCTGATCTCCCCTTTTGAGATATTTCATTGGTATAGCAGCAGAAGATATTGTTCAATATTAATAAACAAATATATATAATGTTACTTTAACAACGGAATATTTCAGTGGCAATGTAGGAAAAAAATGAGAAGACGAAATAGTCGGCAATTTCGGACTGGGATCCCGAAACGAGCGCGGCGAAAAATGTGTCCAGTGGTGCACAGGAAACAATTAAGTAATCACCAACACCTGGCTAGAAGTTCCCAAGACACGGAGAAGCCCTATCTTGTAACTATCAACAAAAGTACTAGATAAGGTACGGTAACTATCAACAAACGCTTCAGGGACGCAGTTATACACTGTAAAACATACATAAGTACCGACTGCGGGTGCGATTATCTTTCCGACGTGTGCTACGTCAGAATTAAACTGCAGATTAAAGAAGACCAAAATGAAACCTAAACTGCAATATAAAAAGGAAACAGAACTATAAACGAATACATCCTGAAGATGATTACTAAATCAAAGTGGAACATACTGAGATATACACTTGTGATATCGACGAACTAGATCATCGTAAAGAAAACGAGACAAGAAAGGAAAGATTGGCTGACATAAGAAATTATAGAGATGAAAAAAGTGACAACAAACAATGCCAAGGAATGGGAAAGAATACCAAACACTAAACAGGGAAAGAAATAACAGATATAGGCAGGCTAAAGAGGAGTGGATCAGTGAAAAGTGCGCAGATTTAAAGAAAATGAAGAACACAAATGCACCAAATATGGACAACAGAATAAAAGAATTAACAGGACAAAAAGTGTGCCAACCAATAGGCTCTATGAAATCATAGGAAAGATCCCTAAAAATAGAAACAAAAAGGTGGAACGAATACGTCAAAGGACTTTTACACAACGCGAGAGAGAAACCTACGCCGGAAAAGCCAGAAATACTAAAAAGTGAAGATCAGAACTGGAGAAGATGAAGAGGAACAATGCAGCAGGGCCTGATGGGATGGTATCAGAGATGCTCTCAGCTTTAAACTACACTGTATCGACAAGATGAAAGACGTAAATATATAATAGTGGTCATATACCAGAGAATCTCACTAAATCCATGTTCGTAACATTACCTAAAAGATCAGTTGCAAACGAATGCAAACTGCAAAGGGCAATCAATTTAATAAGCCACGTAGCCAAACTAATGATGCGAATCTTGATAAATAGAGCGTGAAGCGGAATTAGGATAAGAACAGTACGGCTTTGTCAAGGGACAAGAAATGCGATATTCATGATCCGAATGATATCAGAGAGAGAGAGAGAGAGAGAGAGAGAGAGAGAGAGAGAGAGAGAGAGCAATACAAATGCAGAAGAATGTGCACTTATATTTTATCGATTACACAAAAGCATTTGACAATGTATATAGCACAAGGATCTATTTGAACTGCTAGGAAAACTAATTCTATTTACAAAAGATGTTAGAATAATCCAGAACTTATTGCATACAGAGATAACATAAATTGAGTAGCTGGACTAATGATTAACTGCAAGAAGACAGAAAGTATAGTCATCAGCAAGAGAAAAGTCCCAAGATCCGAGTTACAAATTGGAGATATAAACATCAAGCAGGTTCAAAAGTTTAAATACGGAGATGCTCTTTGAAATTATATTCTTAACCTTCCTATTAAGAATTGTGACATAGAAGTTTCTTCTTGGTTTAAAGCCGGCATTGATGCTTTTATTCTGAAAATATCAGGTTAAACATCAATCTTCTTGGTTAATACTAGCCTGATCCCTAGCCTGATTAGGAATCACTTTCTCTGGGCGTGCTAGCGTGATAATTCCGATCACAGCAGACACCTATTTGTGACTGCTCGAAATAATTGAAGATGTGTCCTCAAATAGGCTAAGTCTTTGACAGAATGAGACACCGTATAGCATCTAACAGGTTTGGTTCACTGTATTGTGTGTTAAATAAGAGTAAGTCTCCTATTCCTTTTCTATTCACTCAATTTAAGGTGTTAGCATATTCTGCTGATAAAGCAGAATGTTTTGCCTGTAAATTCTCTTTAAATTCTACTCTTGACTCATCTGGAGTATTTTTGCCCGATTTTCCACTTAGAACTGAGTCTCTGTTGAGTGATATGTATATAACTCCGTCCATGGTTTCTGCTATCATTTGTAAAATGGATTCCCCAAAGCATGTGGACCTGTTGGTATCCCTGCAATAGTCCTTAAGAAATGTGCTTCTGAACAGGATCCTGTTGACTCTTAACTCTACAATAAAAAATTTGCTGCTTCTTCCTTTCCTGCTTGTTTGAAATTATTCCTGTCTTTAAGAACTTAGGTGGACCATCTGATCCTCCTAACTATCGGCTTATTAGAATTCTACCTTATTTTGGCAAAGTATTAGGGACTCCAATTAACTCCGAATTAGTTAAGCATCTCACATTGTAGGGTCTTCTTTCAGATAAGCAATATGGCGTTTTCTTCTCTAGGTTATCTGCTGATGTGGTTATGATTATTGCTGAAAGAGTCTATGAAGCTTTACATAAGAATGCTGAAACAAAGGTTATTGTTTTGGATACTGCAAAATGAAAGTTGTATTGAATGTTCACTCTTCTAGATCTTTTTGCATGAATGCAGGTGTTCCCGTTGGGCCTACGTTGCTTCTAATTTGGTCTGTTAATCCTAACGTCTCAGAAAATAAACTGCCATCATTAGAAACAAGAAAAGAGTGCTGGGTTGCTATGTGATATCCATGCTAATACATGAAAGGGAATGTTGGACAATCTGCCCACTGATGAGGAGAAAACAAGAAGCAGCAGAAATGTCGTTCTACAGAAGGATACTGGCAATTCCATAGACGAACCAAATAATCAATTATGAAGTTTTCAAGAAAATGGCAACAGAAAGAACACTTCTACTCAAAATCAGGAAAAATCTTCTGAAATTCCTTGTACACATTATGAGGAAGGAGGGCTTAGAAAACTTAAACCTCACGGAGTATATTGAGGGCACGATAGAGAGCCACATTCCTGGATGGCAGAGCCAGAGTGGTCTTATCAAAGGGAGAAAAGCAGCCAAGATCTACAAAAGATAGGAAGTTGTGGAGAGCCACGATCATCTATGTCCTGAAGTGACGTGACACATAGAAGAAGTACGAATATGCTGCTCTTGTTACGTATCAGCTTTCTTTGGATATCTTTGTAATTTTAATGGTTTACGGTGATTTTCTAAGCGTAGCCTAGTGTGGCACAAGGCCGAAAGTATAGAGCACCCAGTGAGGATCGAACTCACTATTCAGTCGTAATTGTTTTAGCGAGATGATACAAGCTTGCTAAACATTACACCGCGGTGAAGTATCCATTTTAATGGTGTATGAAGTAGAATTATTTATTACGATAATGTAAATTGTATAGATAAAAATCTTAATCATGCAGACAATATAAACAGTACCATTGCAATATTATTTAAATATTGCAGTTAAATTTTACAGAACGAGTAAACAAATAATAATACAGTACATGCTCGGTTCTCGAACGTCTCGCATGTCGAACAAATCGGTTTTCGAACAGAAAATTCGAGTTGAAAATGCCTCGGTTATCGAACAAAATTTCGGTTCCCGAACAACATTGCCGAACCGAGTTAACCTAAACGAAATAATTTCTGATTCGACCGCCATGTTGTATACATTCATGTGTTGTGTTGTGCTTTTCTTTTCCAATTTTATTGTACTGTGACTTTTTTTTTATCTACATTGATTCCTATTGGAGAAATAGTTTCGGCTTACGAACATTTCGGGTTACGAATGGCCTTCAGTAACGAATTAAATTCGTGAGCCGAGGTCCCACTAATAATAACCAGCACACTTGGAACTTTGCCAAAAACAGTGAAATGAAAATTGCATGCGATTAAAATTCAACGAATGACTGAAACTATAGACTAGAACTTTCAGCGATAAAACGGCAGACATCAAATATGAATAGACTAATTCATGAAATATAATAATAATAATAATAATAATAATAGACATTTGGAAATAATCAAAGACCGCCTGAGCGGACCGTGTTACCTCGACCTGAAAGTATTTCTAAAAGGTCCCCAACTGCAAAGTTTTCCGCTGCTTTTATCAAAACTTGTTATAGCACGCAAAGCATAAAACTGCTATATTCTTATCAGACTGGGTGTCATTTGACTTTGTCATTTGGCCTCGTGGCATTTTACTGGCATACTATCAAAATACAAGGACCTTGAAATCCTAATCTAATGTGACGCATGAGGTCATCTACAACACCAGTTGTAGTTGGAGCTCTGGGACTGATTGGAAAAGGAACCAATAGACTCATTGAAGGGATTCCTGGTATCCCATGCCTTAAAAAAATACAAAAAAATTATATTCACAAGTACAGCCCACATTTTACGAAGAGCTTTGTCTATGTAAAATATGTGTAAACGTAGGTGTTTTTCCTCCTCAAAAAATACTGAGTGGAAAATGCCATGATGACATTTCTGTCCATAGGTCTCTGGTTGGGACCCGGAAAGAAATGAGGATACACCAGAAATCAAATATAATAATAATAATAATAATAATAATAATAATAATAATAATAACATTCCCAGAGTCAGAAAAACTCTCTTAATGTAA